TGGGGCTGGAGACAGCGCCGGTGCCAGGGCAAGCCTCCCTCCCTTAGGGACTAGGAGGCGAGCTCCCAGGGGGTTGCGAAACAGACAGACAGATTTGAAAAACTCATGATTTTGTATCCTTAAACACAATAGCTGTAGTTTCTAGGGAATGGATTAGCGTAGGGTGCAGTTTATAGACCCGGCCCAAGGGACTGAAAGCACGTAGTCGCAGCTGCGGGCGCAGTGCACTACATCTCGTCTCTGTAGTCACTTCAGCTTTGGCTTCGTCATGGTTTTGCCTGTGACAGCTTGAGGCCATGACTCTTTTCGAATGATTATTGACTCCCTCAGCAAACTGGCCCACTTTATTCCAACCAAAAAATAGTTGAGAGTAGCCGATACCGTTAGGCTGTTAGCCGGCCGACTTACCCTCTTGAGGTCCCCGCTTTGGAGTTGCACTTTGTTTCCAGTCTGGCCTTTAACAGTATCCTGAAGCAGCGAAGGAAAGGCGACGACTCATTGCCTCGTCAAGTATAGGAGCGTTCCTATAAATAGTGTTATGCGGAAGCCCATTCAAAACCTCGCCATCTGCCCTACTCTCCCACGCACGTGGGGCCGCAGCATGCTCCGCCGTGAATGGACAACTACACTTACATATCGGGGGCTTCCTGTCCACCATTTGCGAAGCGTACTTCCCTACTCTCTCGCAGGCTCTTTTCCGCCCCCCACGTCACTACGCTCATTACTCCGTCTTTGCCTTTCCTTGGTTCTACTTTTAGTTCGTTCTTCGAGAAGTCTTTTGAGTCTGCTTTCACTGTTTTGCCGACGACCTCAATTTGGCAGATGCTGCGTACCCGCACACAAGATGGTTGGAGAAAGTGTGTAAACGTGCACATGCACAATTACACATATACCCTCAGCAAGCACATGGGAGCCACTCAACCCAGTAATGTACATGAAGACACGGATTATGTGCCTCGGGTGCAGGCAGCGGATATCTGGAATCTTGAAAAAGCTCAAAAATAACTTTAACGAAGATAAAAATCAAGACAAAAAGAAAGTAAAATTAATGGAGCTGAGCACAAGAACAACATCAGTAAATAGAACAAAAGACAAACACGAATATAATTGGGAGCCACTAATTAGTAATGAATAAAGACCAAAAATAAAATATCGCTCATAAACCACCTTTTTACGTGTCTACTATCTCTGTAAGAGATGTAAGCACTGCCTTAGACTAGCGGAATACATTGTGCTGTGGCTGATGCCAAGGTAGGCTTGGAGCACACTGTCTGGCTTTCTGGGTCATGCTTCGCGGAACTTTGTTAATGTGACAATGATATAAGCTAGAAAAGCTTCTAAAAGGTATCAATTAGCTCTGGGTAGCAAATTACTTCGTCATATGTTTGCGTTATAGTGCCCAGAGCCAATAAAAAGCCCAAGAGACCCGCTCAAGCTTGTCGTATACGTATGCAAGCAGAGTAGCAGCGAACGCTAGAGTGCATATGCTGAAAGGTACATCTGCAGTACTAATATTATGCACTGTGTTTTTCATGCACACACGTATTTTGAACTCTTTTCAAGTACCAGCACTTGGGTCAAGGGTTACTGCTTGCAATAACCCTTGCTTGCATGTGGCTCTTTCAAAGGTAAGAGGCAGTGCGAGAAACAAACTTTTGCAGCAGTTTTGAACTGTAAATTTATTCTTTACGAAAATTCGAGCCAAGTAATAAACATATACCACACGGAGCTCTGTGCACTGGTATGAAAGGATGCCGTTCGATAGTAGGGAAGAAGCTCCACTTATTCCTTAACTGAATAGGCTAAAGGCGAAAATCTTGAAGCCGAGTAGCTTGTCGACTCTGCTGGCAACGCACCCTGCTGGCAGGAGCATGCCAAAATATACCAAATGACTCTGAAGGAAAATGCGCACTACTTGGTGCATCGACGGAAAGGTCAAACGCTCGAAAGAAAAGTCTCCTGCAGGCCCTGCTTACCGTCGTTCGCTAATCTTTTTTTCTAACGTGAAAGTCTGGAAAAGCTGTTTAGTTTTTGCATTTAAAACTTGATACACGCATTCAGAAGTAGCACCACTTGATAGAGTTTGGTGGTCCCAAGAGACCTGGAGTTGATGCCAGCGGTAGATTCGATTCGCCTGGTGGATGTTTTCAGCATGCTAGAGGGCATTATATACAGGCGGGCTACTGAGAGAGACACGATGCGGTTAAGGGAAGACGAAGTCGGCGCGCGCCGCTTACCATCACAGAGGACGGTAACCCGTCTTTTGTCATTGTTGTGCCATCCAGTGTTACAGTTTGGTTTGCTGCCCTTGACAGTAGTCAAGATAGTATCCTTTTTCACATGTTGGTTGAAAGATGTTGCGTAGGAGATATCAACAGAGCATGAAGGGCTTCGACAGGTCCTCCAACCGACAGCTCACTAGTAAAAGTTGTAAGGAGCAGCAAACACCAAGTGCATGTAGTTCACCGGTATTTAGGGGCTACATTTACTAGATAAGAGGATTAAGTACTGAATTTGAGCTAGAGTTGCCGTTACGCCAACAGATACAGACCCTAACTCATTGGAGAGCACGCTACACAAGACCTAGGTTGGGTGAGCTTGGGCGACCAGTTGATGAAACCTTCTCCCCGAAATACACCTGGTATTTTCCAGAAAATTTTGAATCTTTTAGAGGTGCTACTAGTTTGAATAGAAGGAGTGTTACGAGGCTTGCAGTCTACTGTATCGCGATGAGGAACTCTGGGACTACCGATGCGTCCGAGAGGAAACATTTACGCTGCAATGAGAACTGAAAAAAAACACTGTAGGAAGGCATAGAAAATATAACGAAAAACTCGAACAAGTCGGGACGTTGAGTACTGAAACTATGCTACTCTGGTAAACTTGGGAGATCCCCCGTTCCGTTTATAGCGGCCCCATAAAGGCATTAGTAGCTGCAGACGTTGCCAGTGCAATACACGTGTACTGTTGGCGACTAAGTAATAAGCCAGCAACCCTATCTACGGGTGCCATGCCCTACGAAGTTTACTGAATTGCCCAGCCACGTATAGCACCTGGTCCTCCTGAAAGATAAATGCAACGCATCGAACCAGATCCTACACGCAACCATCTATACGTCTACATTCTCACTCACATATTTGCCGTAGAGGTGCTGCGTGCTCAGAGAATAATATCCACGACACCCAGTTTCTCAAGTCATCCTAAATCACTGTACTGCAGTTCGGTAGGCACAGCAGATGAAGCCGGCAACCTGAGCTTTAAGCCTTGTCCAGATCATAGATTACAATCTGGCCAAACAATGAGATGGCTAAAGTTAATCTGCCATGATATTCAATCTTTACTTTCTTGCCCATTTCACCAGTAGCTGCTAACAGACTGGGCTGCTCAGTCCCACCAGGCCGCTAAGCGCACCGAGGAGCACCCCAGAGCCCGTCTTGGCAAAGCGCTTCCAGAACGTAGTTTTTGCTTGATTGAATGTTTATTCTCTGTGTGCATAAATAGAAGCGCAGGTTAAGCACGGCGGAGCGTTAATTTGCTGACCATCATAGCGACTCACTGCGACTGCTGGCCCCCAGAGTGTCGAAGTGCAGTGAAGGAATAACTTGAAGCATTTTCTTCAAAGCTTTTGATGTGCCATATACTAGAAATTTGAGTTTATAGGTGAGTCTCATTTATCAAGATACTGGCAGGCTTCCTTCCGTTTCCCCGCCTGAGTGGAACTCTTTTGAAGTTCTATTCCAAAGCTGTCGTGGTAATTCGTTACGTGACTTTCAGTTTTCGGTCTCAGAGTGTCTTTTCATGATTCTCCTTGTCTGCTTAGTGTATAAGCAATTTCACTGTCGGTATAAATTGAAGTTTTATGTGCCCGTAACTCAGCCCCGAAACGTGCAGACCGCCGGCGATATCGCGGGAATGGCTTGGTTAAACAGATAGATTTTCACCATGTATCTTCTTCTGGTCATTTGAGACTTAGATGCGTTCAATTTTTTCTTGTAGCTTGTGTAATGCACGTTTGTCGAACGGCCGTTTATGGCCTGGCTGCATGTGACCGGTGAATGCTTCGTCTCATCTAAAAACTACCTTTGCCGTTGAGCCATGTACCATGAATAATTCGTGTTTTTCACGAAGGCTTAGGTGAAATATGCCTTCACTGTGTTATGTCTGGACAGTAGGAGGGGCTTGGTCTACTGAACCTTCTGGATCCTGTCAAATCCTAGAAAATGTGGGATAGGAAGTTCGTCATACGCAACGCGGACATGCCCGACGAAATGCAACAAGATGCAATCGATTGCGCCAACCAAGCTCTCGAGCGATACAACGTAGAAAAGGACATAGCGGCGCACATAAAGAAAGAGTTCGACAGGAAGCACAATCCTACGTGGCATTGCGTTGTGGGACGGAACTTCGGCTCCTACGTGACTCATGAGACTCACAATTTCATTTACTTTTACATTGGACAGGTTGCGGTTCTGTTATTTAAGTCGGGATGATCACATGTTGCGTCGCCGCTCTCTTCATGTTGCTTTTAGAAGACAGGAGGAAGTACACTAACAAAAGCAGCCGGGAGTTCGCTTCCCGTCTCTTTGTAGATGTCTTTCATCACCTTTTCCTCTCCTGTCTGGTTTCCCCGCTATGATGCTATGAGCAGGTCTACTCAATGAAAAAGAAATGTATGAGGGGCAATTTGACGTAGTTGAGGTAGTGGCGAGAACCCTCAGACATATATTTCATATGCCTGGAAGTACATGGCTATGCGCGCAGTTTTGTACACAGTAGAGAGTGATTTTTCGTGTAGTCGCCCACCTTGCAGTTCTGCAGAGAGGGGAGAGAATCATATGAGGCGGCACGAGACCGGTGCAATTCAAGGACTACGCGTAGGGACAGGGTTGACAGTTTGTCCCCCAAACTTCCTTGTCTCTATTAAGGACGCTTCTTTTTTCTTTCCCTTGTTGACCGTTTGTATCGAGCGCATTCCGGGGAGAAGACAAATCTAGTGCAACAGCTGTTGCAAAGTTGGTCTGGCAGAGCGACCCGTAGCAAGGGAATGATGATTAGCAGCTATATGAGAGTCACTAAAGTCGTAGGAACATCGGATTTTTTTAGGAGCACGGACTCACCGGATCAGACAGAGTCAGCGAGGACTTCCGTGGTGGTTGCTGATCGCACACTTCGGTGAATCGAACACCCCACCTCGGTGGCACATTAAACTGGCATTGCTGTCTCCCTCCGGATAACTTCGATGATAGGAGGAATGGGCATTAAACAGCACTGGATATGCACCTAGTTGGCTCCTATTGTGGCATTGCTCTCTCCTTTGGGACAACTCCTCTGATAAGGGGAATGGGCATTAACCATCACTGGTCATATTAATAGTTGGCCTCTAATGGCCGTCTCCCCTCTTCGCAATGGGATAGCGTAGCAGCCTACCCTTGGAAGCATTTCGGGGAATGTAACAACAAAGGCAACGGTTGTGAATCAGCATTGTGGGAAGAGTGCTACAAGGCAACGGTTGTGAATCAGCTGTAAAGAGCTAGAGCAGCATCGCAACTATAGTTACTACTGAGTACATAAACTGTCCCCGGAGCCGCAACAAACACACGCTAGCAGTGTCAGAAGTTCAACAATTATTCTGTCTGGCAAGTGCAAATATCGGCTCTCATTTCACACTTAAAGGAGCACATGGCAGCGACTGATTAAACCAAGTCAGCTCCCACGGTTGCCGGCAATACGACCTTCGTTACTACATGTTCTTCGGTCTTTGCCGTGGACCTTTCGCCGAAAGAAGCACCAAAGGGAGAATTCTTAGTTTCAGATTTCTCGCTTGGGTGCAAGAAAATAGCAATTTCGCTACTTGTGGAATGAGAAAGGCGTGCAGCTCTCCTTTCTCTCAGTATATCCGCGACAGTTCGTCCATTAAAATTGCCAATCATTTTTGCAATGATAAACGAAGCAACCATCAGTGCCACTGTTGTGCCAACATCGGCTAATATATTCCCAACTGCAATATGTCGCAGCTCGCGGTGGTGTGGCTCCGCTACCTTCTGCCAGAGAAGCTGTAAATACGTAATGCTCACATCAGGTTCCCTCTCTTCCTTGCTCACTTCACCCCCTGACGCTGAACTTGCACCAGTGCACTTCGATGTTTTCTCGTGTAACCCGCCGCTAAGGAGGGCCCTCGTTGGTTCTTCACCCTTGCTTCCCCCGTTTCGGCCCGCACTTTTATCCTCTGAGTTATGGCCAGCTCCACCTGAATCTACGCTGCTTTGTTTAACGCTTTCTTCCTCAGAGGACGGAACTCTCTGAAAGGGGTGAAACTTCCCGCCCATGTCCGTGAAAGTAAACACCAGCTCCAAATCATCTTCAAACAAAAGGCCGAGGCGAAGGCGCCGTCTGAAGCTGAGACTAGATACCGGGACACGTACTACAAGGGTGGAATCACTTGCTTCAAATATTAATTTCCCACTGTATTGAGCAACGCCTTGTGCACCTCGCGCATACATCTGGAGCAATTCAGAAGACAACTCACCCAAAAGCTCCTCTTGTTTCGCCGTCCACGCATGCTTACTCAGTTGCAATACTTTCCTCAAATATCCAGCTGTCTTTGGAGTATCCCTTGAAACGGTTAAATCCCAACTTCTTCTTATATTAAAAAGCGACAGTCCCGTGACAAGGCTGTCCGCCCTCTCCTCTGTGCTGTCACTAGAATGTATAAGAGAATGAAATGCCGCACTGATCCTCATAGCTGGAATTGCGGCCAGTGCCAAGCTGATAGCCCCGCGACGGACGACGTTTAAACCATTCATCGCCACTGCAAGAGCATCCGAACACGGAGTAAGAGCAACTCTTACTGACCATGGACAACCTCTACAGCCACAAAATCGTCAGGCAGTGACGACGTCAAAGTAAAGTGAGCAATTCAATAGCAGCATAATCAAAAGTGACTAGAGAAAGTTCTGGACACATGCATGAAGCCCTACAGAATTGGCCTCTATGCAGGGCGAAAGCCATACAAAAAAGAAAATGAAGTTGAAACAAATGTTACAGAGGAGACAACTGCATAAATGTGGAAGAAAACAGCCACTAACGAAAAGAGCAAGAAAGAAACACAGCCGTACATGAATCGAAGCAGCGGAGCTGCTACATATAAATGCAGTGTATAGAGCTCCCTCTTGCCACTGCTCACGTTCTCGTTTACTTCGATTACTTATATTTGGAAGACAGTCTAGCAAAACGGGATCATCAGCCCTCCTGCCTCTCTTTAGTCGGCAACGTCCAACAGATAATGCCTCAAAAGCTGCATCACGCTGGAATGTAGCCCATTCTCCAGGCTTATCTTTTTCTGTACTTCCAGTTTCGTCCTCACTGTTGCTCTGCCATTGTCGCTGTGTGTGCAACTCTGCCAGCTCCAACAGCAGCCACTGCTCAGTTGAGAGCTTTCCACTGTTGAAAGGCAACACACGGAGAGGAGGAAGCGTGACGGAAAGGTTGTCCTTCAGGTGCAGACGAACACCAACACCCATGGGCCGCAAAACATCGCGATAGAATTCCACATCCACTTCGACAGACCAAGGACCAGGCAGAAACTCTGGCGGCACAAAAGAAACTGGGGAGAGGTGAGCTCCGTTCTCAGCAGCTACAATAGCATGACTGTACAAGTTGACAACAAATTTACATGCAATCTAATTCGCGCACCTGCTGAAAAGTGGACAAGGCACTCACAAAAGCCATGCACAGAAGTACGGCGCCCTGCCAAGTGCTAAGAATACACGTGGTCTTAAGAATGAATATATGAGCTGCAAACAGTAGGTACCCTCCTTCATTGTAGGTCCCTCGAACCGCCATCTACTGCATACCGAAATAACGAGAAAATAAAACTTCAGAAGCTGCAAGCGTGCTACAACCACTACATTTTCCTCCCTCGCGGGCCCGGAGGACTATGCGACTTGTGGGGAAACAACAGTTTTGCGGTAACTTCAAGTTGTAGTCAGACTTACCGGCATACTGTTCCTCGTCGTCAGTGTGTGCGGCAAAAATCAGCGGTTCTCCCTTCCCCAGGCAAACAATTGTGGCGTTGTCACCTCGTTTTGGAATCCATCCTCCCCGTAGATAATTAGCCAACTGTTCCAGGCGTAGCGGCATCACCGTCGGCATCCTGGAAACGGCGGAGGGGGCAGCACCGCTGTAATTCAACTGCACGACAAAATAATTCGAACCTGAGTCAGTTTCCTTAGTCTCTATTCCTGCCACTTCAACGTCTAAGAACCATGGAGCGGCCGTGCATTGAGTATAAGTCAAGTGCGAGGCTGCTGATGGCTTGCTGCTTCCCGTCACGGCAACGCCGAACTCTTTATTTAAAGACGAACAGCGACCATTGCCCGTCCACTGAGTCGGCTTGGGCTGTGGCAATGGGGTTGGATGTCTGGAGAATCCCATTGAGTTCTTTATAACTGGCCCACTGGACCACGCTGTAGCTCGGTTTGCTCTGAACTTTTCAACGTCTATCCAGTAACGGCACTCCCTTCTACCTATCTCCGACACAATATCTTCAGCGTATGCACTAAGCAAACTGGAGAACTCCGCGCTCTCCAAAACGTTTGAAGGAACAGGCATCAACTTCGCCATACCCACGGAGCTGCCTCCCCGAAGAAGAGCCGTTGCTTCCATCATTTGCTGTTCTCTCAAGTCTATGGGTCGAACTGATGGCAGTTGGGCGATGAACAACAAAAATAGAACATACTCACGACGCATCGTCGGTGCAACAGCTGTCCTGACATCCCGTCCAGGGGATAGAACCAGGGCGCAGACAATTCAGGTGGCACACTTGGCAAATCAGCGAAAAGCGGGCGACCAGGCTATGATGTGGTGAGCGTCCGCAGGTGGCAGTCCCGAGTCCCAAGAAGCAAGCAGCAAGTCCCACCAACCTAGGCTGCTCTGACTAGCTTCGCAGATTAGGCCGCTCTTCTTCTCTGCTGTTCCTCGCTTAACAACATGTATGCACCACTATCACAACCTCAACTGGTATTCCCATGCTACACAGACAGGCCCCTTCGTGCTGCCGTGAGGGCTAGGAAGCATACATGGATCCATTAGTTACCAAAGAAGATATTACAAAGGATGTGACTGGTACTGCTAAGACCAACGGTGATAAAGCCACGCGTCGAGTATGCAGCTATGGCATCTCTGACGCATCAGCGGCCACTTCCCTACAGCGTCCGCTAATGAGCTACAGCGAGCTCGAATTTCTGTGAAATGACGCAAAAATACTATGACTCAAGTGAACACGCCCGCATGCAGTAGAAGAATCAGTTGCCGTTGAGCGGATAAGTCAACGAAGCAGCAAGGGAACCGCTGCTCAGGGCCTATTCAGGTGATCGGTTGTAGTCGCTTTGATGATGCAGCAGCTTCAGCGCTACATGCCGAAGAAATATATTGCCCCTCAACAGTCCAAAATATGATTACGAAATGGGATAGTTCCATGTGTTTTGCACAGGCATAATATTAAATCGATGGCAGGAAGCCTCGAGGCGCAAGAACTGATGTGAGGAGCTGCCTACGAGAGATCATGACCATGGTCCCCACCGCGTAAAAAAGTAGACGGCAGTTACTGCTTTGGTGCTCAAAAACGTCTGGATATTCTTACAAAAAACTTCTTGTTGAAGAGGAGAATAAATGCGGCATCTATGTAATGCCGGTAGCACGCGCTTCACTTTGCACTTCGCTGTGGACCATCAGTTAAAACGCGCGAACAGGGTCGAGGGCACTCGAACATCGTAGCACCAGCAGCCTTCTATAGGTCCGTCGAAGTTATACCATTTATATTCTTTTGAAGTCCTAGTAAAAATTGATCAGTCTTGGGGGTAACTCTTTGTTTGATTATGTTCAGTGTATCAACTGCGCATCTTAACATGAAAGGGCCGAAGCACATGTCAAAGGCTTCTGCTGATTCACTGCTGGTTTAAACGTGTCCAACCGCTGTTATTTGAATCCAAGGATAAGGTTAAAGCTGAATTCTGATCCAAGTTTGCACGCGTGGTGTCACACCCTACCGAAGGCTTCTGCGGCGCTGGACACCGCGGGATTCTGCAAGGAAAGGACCTTCTGGAGTCTAGAGCGCGTTGCAGGGAAAAATAATCCAAAAGATACATTTGCAGAAACTCCCTCTCTACGGGACAGCTGAGCTAGTGGTGAAGGTTTACGGTGAGGCAGGGTGGCGAAGAAGTAAGGAGGCTCCCCTAGATTCCCCACACCGGGAAACAGTAATCTCAACTAACCACTCAATCAGAAGCATCGCTGGCAAACTCCCTAGGAATAGGTTATTTCACTTTTGCTCAATTTGGCATGGGGGAGGTCGTTGTCGCTGCCGTGAACTTGGTTCAAGGATGGACCGCCTATAGATTTTTCACGTGCTTCCTTGGGTGCGTGCGGCATTCTATCTGCTTGCTACACAGACGATATTGCATGATGAGTTATGTCAAGCAAATGATGCTCATTCTGAACCCAAAAGTGAGAGTCTTCTCGTGCTAACAGTGTTTGTTCCCTGTCCCCTAACCTTGCAGAAAAAACACGGAGGCTACGAGCCCTCTCTCAGCATATAGGTCATGACTAGAATTCAACAGGTCATCACAGTGTAATTCAGGCATCTTCCTAGCGTCTCGTACTCGTCTCATAGCAAATATAGAACGCCAGCTCGAGTCAGAGCTACGGGACGCTGTTGTGGTGCGCAGCACCACAAAGCTGCGCAGGAACAACTTTCAGAGCTTTTAAGATTTTGATCAATACAGAACAAGCATAATTAGAGTCATTTAAAATAAAGAAATCTGGCAAATACAGCCGACCAGCCCAATTTGCTCATCAACAAGACAGGCCTTGGAGCTAGCAATGTTAAATAACGGTGAGCACCTATATGCAAACCAAGAGACACAGAAACTTCCTCCTTCTTTGGATGTAAAGATCGAAGGCGCCTCTATGGCCCAAGCGCGTAGGGGGAATAGAGCAATCCAAGCGCAAGTCCAGAGGACTCTGACCCACTAACGCTGGAAAGTCACGGAGCAACTCAGTCCCCCTAACAGAAATATTCGTAGTGGACAGGAAGATATACCGATCGTGCTATATAAATACAATGTCTAGAGGTAAAAAACGCGCCTACCATTGCAACAACCGCGCCCCAGCAAGTGTAGCGTCAGGCTTGCATATTTGAATAAGTGCTGAAGAATTTCACGAAGTACATGCTAACAGTTTTGAAAAATAGCATACTCTCATCATTTCTAGCGCCGACGGAAGAACCTTTAACGGTCAGCGTGTGCAGCCAAAGCAGCGAACGCACTGCAGCAGCGCTTGGGGCTTTAGGAAAGCGCATGCTTTTCTCAACAAGACAAAGTGGTATTTTGTTTACAGCAGGAAATCACAAGTGTATTACTTGGAGTATTTTTTTTCTTCAGTTAGGTGCGTGTGCGAAATATAGCCTATGCCAAAGTCACGTGAGTGCTGTGATGCGGGAGCTGCAGCATCAACTCACGTTGAAACATTGATAATCCCAGAAAGCCTTCTCTGTACTCCTGGATATGCCAGATATTCTAAGATGCTGATATTTTTGATATTGGAAAGGACAGCGACAACTAAGCTTCGTTTATCTTTCTCTGTCCTTCGTTTGCTAGTGTTTCGTATATCTCGCATGCTTTCATAGCCGCAACCATGGTGAACTGTCAAGCGGGTAAAGGTGTGTGCTGTTTGCTCGTGACTGATGCCCAGAATGACTTCTGTGAGGGCGCCTTGGCAGCACCGGCGGGTCTGGCTGTAGTGCGGAGGATAGGTGAAGCGTTGCGCCATGCAAGAAAACAGGGCCAGAAAACAGTTGGGCGCTATTCTAGCGGGGAGGGCTCGGCATGTGAGTCAGGATGCATAACCGAAGTTGATTGCTGTAAGGAAATAACGAGCAAGCAAATGTTGCAGGCAATTACGTCTGCTTCGACAGATGCAAATGGGACTAGACAAGAGGACATATCAAGAAATTTGTGGGACATTGTCATATTCTCTCTCGACTGGCACCCTTCTAACCACGTCTCATTTTTGAGCTCGCATTCGAAAGAATGCATTCGTAGTATTTGCGCTTGTGGTAATGCCAGCCTGCCTCATGCTGCTGCGCAGCAAGCCGCGGGAGCAGCAGTCAAAAAAGCCATGACTTCCCTTGATCCGGACGCGAACTGGACTGTGGTCTCCTCGGCGTCGTCTTCAGAGGCTTCGGCTGCTACAATCTGCCGTCTCTGGCCTACTCACTGCGTACAAGGCACGCATGGCTCGAAACTCCATGGTGCTGTACATGCAGACTTGGGAGATTTCGTGGTTTTTAAGGGCAGTGACACTTCCGTAAGCGTTTACTGACTCTTAGATCGCATCTCTTGCATTACTGGCAGCTAACCTTAGGACATTTAGCGGCCCGGGAGCCGGGGCCTCAAGTGTATGCATTTTTGCTCCGATATTGGTTCTCTGCTGTGCGTATTTGAACCAGGCTGAATGCTTCTCCGCCTGTGGGGCTGAGAGCGCTCCAACCGGTTTAGTGCCGTTGCTGCGTTCAAAAGCAGTGGAAACGGTCGCAGTGTGCGGGTTTTGCCTGGAGTTTTGTGTCGCTGAAACAGCGGTCAGTTTGCGGGCTGCGGGTTTTCCGAATGTGGTCGTATTAACAGACCTGACTGCGGCAATATTTGAAGAGAAGCAACGTGAAACCCTCGAGTACCTCAATTCTCAGGGAGTCAGATGCCTGACTCTAGAAACGTTCGCGACGGAACGAACCCTCTTTTCTATTGATTTGCCCTCCTCCGAATAAGAGGGCTTTATTATAGGTAAGTTATTGGTGCCTTCGTTTGGGCAGGTGCTCCGCTTATGCGGAGCACCTGCCCAAACACAAACGGTGTTGTTGTGGTTAAGTGGAGACTGCACAGATGTAGCAGTCACTTCAATGCTTGTTTTCTGAGGCTTTCTTTTATTTCACCGTTCGGTGCTTATTTTTATTCGTATTCTCGCCTGTGTGCGGCTCGACTATGCTCTGTATTGTGTGGGGAGTCTGCTTGCTTGGGGAAGAACGATACAGTGTATCTCCTGAAACTAAGACGTCTGGTCTTCTCAGTGGCGCAACCTTATGTTCCAGACGCTTTTTTGAACATAGCTCTGGCATCGTTTTCCTTTCACCCAATTTCTTAACAGTTCTCTATCCTGCTTTCTTCCCTTCGCTGCTTCCTGAGAACAAATTGTTTTTTCGAGCCGGCAGACTCCCACTTTTGATCGACTCTCAGTTTTTTACGCTCGACATGAGCTCAAAAAAAGACGGGGGAAGTAAGAAACTCGCCTTGAACTATTGAGTCAGTTCTGTCGAGTTTATGGGCGGGAAGCTCTGGAGTACGTTACAGTTCTATTAACGTACTCCTTTACCCCGCGGCTGCCCACGTGTGCAATTCTCATTAAGTGCTCTCTTATTCGTCGCTTCAACATGTGTCTCCTTGAATTAATTACTTCATGACTGAACACCTATGATGGACTGTGGTTCATTATTCATATATGTGTATACGCTTGCGTCCCACGCACTGCCCGAAAAGAGCTTGATTCGCCGGTATCAGCAGCTGGAAAATATCAACTCTACAGCACCCAAGGACTTCAGCGCGACTGCACGGCAGCCGCAGCCATAAGCTCCTATGAATCCCTAGTGGATTTAGCGACATTACTAACGCCTATTGTCTCCATGATAGAAATGGCGTCCGGTGAGACATTGTCTACAACGGCTTTCTCCTGCAACACAGTGTCTACGCTGCAACAAGTTCGCTGATCCGGTAGCTTTACTGTCCTGATCGCTTTCTCTTCTAATGCCCCCACCCAATAAAAATGATACAGACAGGCCATCCCGTTTGCCCGCAAACTTCAGTGATAGCTTAGCTCAAGAGCCCAGAACTCCGCGGGCCCTAAGTTGGCGCAGCTCAGGAAGCTGAAGGGATCTCTCAGCTGCAGCTTCGTTACAGCAGGCTTGTCTCCCGTTTCGGTCTATCTTCCCTATTTGTTCGCGTTTGGTGTCGCGCAGCTCTGTCGTACGCTTCCGGATTTTCACGCATACGCTCGATTTGCATCATTATCATGCATTCGCAGCCGTCCAAGTGCACTTTCCTATCTCACCGTCGGATTTGCTCCAGCGAATGTTGTATTCTAATTAACTTCCGAGAACCTTTTGTCAACTCTCAACAAAATTCTGTACGGCTGGTTGGCCATGGCATATGCAAGCAGTTGGGAGTTCTCAATGCGCATGACCAGAAGCCAGCGGGCCAGGCTCAGGAGGGTTCCCTCAACTCGATCCAGCTCCAACTTCACCACGGGCCACCCTTGTACCACCAGTCGCCGTGACTTGGCGCCGTCCTTTGGCCTTGTAATTTTCTTTCCACAACCAGTACGCGCACTATGGTGAACAAAACCGAACCTGAATCGTTGCCAATTTGGGCTCTGGTAACACTGGACATCATGTTCACAACACGAGCACGCACTCGATGCTGCTGTACTGTCAGATGAGTGCCACCAGAATCGTTTACTCCCTACGCCGGATCTAGCTGACGAGTTGTCCCTCCACTGAGCACACCCACATCGCGAACATGATAACTTTACGGCGAAGGGCGTTGATATTGTTGGGGCTTTGGATCCTGGCACTAAATCCTCGATGATCGAACGCTTGCGGTAGCTGTCTGATTGGGCACCGAGCCTTGTAGAGGACGAGCTGCAGAACGCTGGCGGCAACAACCCAAGCAGGAATAGTTCGTGATCTCCTTAACTGTTCGTCGGAGCGCGATCCCTGCTCAGTCTTTTCACGTCTTATTTCTTCGGTGGCACTGTTTCACAAAGCCTATTACCCTTTTCAGTGCTATATAACTTCCCTTGTCTTTCATCGCACTCTTACCCACTGCCGGAGCAACAACTGACTTGGGCTAATGAATGCGGTTTTTTTTGCACCCCTTACCATTTTCCCCCAATTTTTTACCCATGCTGAGTAACTAGGACCATACTATCACGCCAGTATGGCCAGTGAAAGTGTCACGCCAACATGGCCAGTGAAAGTGTCACGCCAATATGGCTAGTGAAAGTGTCACGCCAATATCGCCAGTGAAAGCCTTCAGTTGTTTCTTGGCAGCACAGCTGTCGCCTCTGTCTTGTTAGTGGGGCGCATTAATACCAGCCCAAGGCGGGGCTGTGGCCCGTCGGCACTGCAGCCCTTGTTACATATCACTACGGCAATCCTGCCATGAAATAACTCAGATGAAGGTTCAAGGGTTCACAAAAAGACTCACGATATAGAGAAATCATAAGCGAGCCCCCGAGGAATTGGTGGTGCTCTTTCACAGACGACTGTACAGCCGTTTGTTTGATTTTTTCTTGCTAAGCGGGTCTTCCTTTCGCCTTCAGGAGGAATTTAACTTGTGTTGCTGTAGGCAGAGTTTTGAGCACGCCTCTTCAAGCCGTTAGATATCCGGCCGTTTTCTTCCCCTACCTTGACATGCTCCGAAAACCTTGAAAATAATCGATTTAGTAACAAGTGGTGTTTGAAGCACGAGATTAGACGAACAAAATATATATGCGGAGAAAAATATCAGCAGCATGCCTCGCCACAGTGTCCTTTTGCATGTTCGTGAACTCGCATCGGTGTTATTGAAGTCCATTGAAGGCGTGCAACACTGGTAAACTGTTTTAAGCGTTTTTCTTTCTCTTCAGTATGAAGCCTACTTCATACCCTTTCGTTTAAACTTTAAAGCCCTGCCGCAGGGTCTTGTAGAGGTGTCACTTACCAAAGTCAATCCAAAAGTAACCTTGCCAATTTCGGTGCACCCCAGTATCATCCATGTGCTACTTCTGCAGCGCTTTATATTTTTTTCATGCAGACATATTTAAAGTACTATCCTAATGGTCCACTTCGTAGTTGGACTCGCCCTTTCGTATGTACAGCAGAGTAGCAGAGTAGTGCTTGACGCAATAACATAACGCTCGCACGCGGCATCAGACGTTAGGTGAGCATAGTGTATTTTGTATCAGGAGCGCAGTTGGCAAATGCTGCGCAAGACTTTTCAAGTGCCGAGGTGGCTTAAATTGGTGCACCGTAGGGTTGTTTCGTCAAAGTACAGCGAAGAGGGTGAACTGGACGCACCAGTGGCGCAATGGATAGCGCGCAGCCCTCCTAAGGCTGAGGTTGTGGGTTCGAGTCCCATCTGGTGTGCTCGGTGTAGTCACTCATCGTCAATTGTCGCCGTGGTTGGTCCTTGGCAAGTTTTCCCTTTGCTAATTTAACGTAGAGGGTCAGCTTGGTGATCAGCTGGCCTCAATATGAATTGG